ATATACACACACACACACACACACACACACACACACACATAGGACATCTGGAGGGGTAAGGGTTCCACTGGGTAGGGTGGCAATAAAAATGGTGTGAGGCCAGACAGATGTAGATACTAAAAGAAACTACAAACATAACCATCTAGCTTCTATTTTTGGCTAATTACTAACCTGGGTAAGCAGGTCATGGGTAAGCAGCTTAAGTTCTCAGCTGTAACAATAATAACCAATATTATTATGATATGAAAAATTTGCATGTGACAGTGGCAGTATGAACAACAAGTAGTCAGCATCATTCCAAACCTCTCAATGAGGCGACTTCCCTTATTGTTTGTTCATTTAGTTTTTATCATATTGAGCTCGAAAAGAAAGGGATACGTAACATCATAGAGTAGTCCTTTAGTTGTATTAACCAGAATGAACACGAGAAAAGGACTTTGAAAAAATGATTTGTAATGACATTTTTAAAATGGAATTTCTTAGAATGAGTTATAAAGTGAGAAGTCTTGGACTTCGGTTCTCAGTTCTGCCACTTACTTTGTGGGAGATCTTGACAATCTCTTAAATCTCTCACAGAATTGTTTCTTCATTTATAAAACAGGCCAGATTGTTGCGCTCAATTGACCTCTCTAGGGTCAAGTTGGCTAATAAACATATCATAAACACATAAAACTACTTTATAAATTCTAAATTCTTCATGTCAGACATTCGTAATATTAACAATACAATTGGGCAAAGTTTGCATACACCTGAACACTATGTAGGGAAATAGTGGATGGTTAGTTTCCTCACACTCCCTTTGCATTCCTTGTTCCTCCAAGGAGTAAAACTCGATTTCTGCAGAATTTTAATCCATTTGAGTTACTGGAGAACAAAACAATTAGACAACAGGCAACGGCCCAGACAGGACAAAGCTGGAGATTTGTGCAAAAGAATGAAGAGGAAATGTTTTGATCCTGAGCAGGTGTTCTCCCTAGATTGTCTAACATCGAGCTGACTTCTGAAAAGGCAGTTTGCATCTAGGTGGGTTTGCCTGGGGTGGGGGGCACTGTTTGTTCAGGATTGTGAAGGTCACATGGGATGCTGTGGGAGGAGGTGAGGGAGATTTTCTAAGCATTAAGGGAGTTCGTGGAAATCTGACCTTGAAGAATTTTTTTTCAGCCACACAGCAAGGCCTTTACCTGATCCAGGGGCAGGAATCTGAGGGTGAGTTGTCCACAGTCTGCAGCTGGCAGACAAGCACTCACAGGCCTAGGGGAAAGTTCACAGTGGAAGGGGCAACTGGGCTGTGGGCAGGCCGAGGGGCATGCCGGGAAGGCTGTGGGCAGGACGAGGGGCGTGCCGGGAAGGCTGTGGGCAGGACGAGGGGCATGCCGGGAAGGCTGTTGTGCTGAGGGAGGTAGGAAACCCTTAAGAAAACCCGAGAGGAAATTTTGGGCCTTTTGAAGAGCAAGTGACCAGGAAGCAGGGTTAGTTGTTTTAAATTTCCCTTGCGGTGACTACTTTCTTGTAAGAACAAGATGCATTATATTGTTTGCAGCCGCTCTTCTCCTGTCAGAGATGTGTCACCTCTATTGTTTCCCAAGTACCTCAGTTTGGTCCAGATGGTGCAGAAGGGGACTGTTTCCTGTGGCCTCTTCATACTGTCCCGAGTGTTAATGATTCCCACCTGGACTGACTTCCTCATCCTGGCTTTTTAATTCTTCGCTGACTGGCCTGTAATTTTTTACGGTACAATGGGGAGAAATGTCTCTGAACTTTTACTTTTCTTCCACCCGAAATGGATAATACAGGCCTTCAGGTTTCCAAAATCATATTTTAAATCCCAGTATAAGTGTTTCTATCCTAGACAATACATTTTATGTGCACATTAATTTTAGAGAGAGCACCAGCTCTGTGTAAGTGAGTTATTGATGAAATCCTATTAAATGTAACCCTATCCGACCTGACTGCAACATGCAAACTAATTGGAACATAGCTCCTGGGTAATTTTGAACAAATAAAAGATTTACACTCTTTTGTTATGCCTGTAGCTAGATTTTACGTAGGCAGTTTTCCTAAATGATAAGTGGAAGAATATCCAAAGTCCCAGTTGAAATTATTATCACTCTTATTTTTCATATATAACCTAGTTATTTTGAAAGTTATAGCCAATGAATTTATCTGTGCAGACTGACTATTGTAGTCAGCTTCTACATCTTGCTATTTTCTAAAGATCTGATTTTAAATATTCTGGTAATATTTGGAAAATTTTCTTGCTCTCCCTTTCCTCTTTGCTCTGTGAATCTTTTGTAAGAGGCACTGCCTTTAAATTAAAAGCCATCAGAGTGGGTTTATGATATTTAAAAAACATAGTGGAAGAGATGAATGTAATTAAAATTAATCAGAAGAAAATAATCATTGAAAAATATCTATTAATCAGCAGGTAAATTATGTTGCTATGGGTTATGTCATTGTTGTTTTGTTGCTAATAAAGTATAATATAGCACACATTTGTAACCATAATCATTGCCTTTTAAAGGCTTATCACTTGTGTCATTTTAAGACTAACATTCTTTAACTGAAATTAAAACTTTTACTTTGGCATCACCATTTCATAAATATAGATTGGACAAACTTGTATATAAATTAGTTTTACCTCAAATTATAAAATTTTTGTTTTTCCACTTTATAATGTTTCTTCTTTGCAACACAATATTTCTATATTGTTGATGTTTTCTTAATATACAGTGGAATATGAATTAACACAAAAATGCATAATATGAAACATAGTTCCCTTTTATAATAATTGTTTCTTTTCCTCTCTCCCTTCTTCAAGAATAACTACCTTCAGATGCTTCAACTCCAGATGATTTTTTTTCAATATACAGAGTAAAGTATTATTTTTAAAATAAAATCATATTTTTAATTTATTCCATCATTTTTGCCTTCAATTAATCTTAGGATTCTGCAAATAATTGTATAGTTATTCTTTCTAAATATATGTGTGGCTATGCCATAATTCATGTCACCACCCCATTACTGATGTATGTGTATGGGTTGTGTTCAGTTTCTCCTCACAGCTTACCTTCTTGAATTGTGTCTGTTTTTGCACCCCACATTGCTGGCTAAATTTTTAAAAAGAGATGGGTTTCTAGTGACCTAGTGCCCCTTTCTTGCTTATTCTTTTTTTCATTTTGTCTGTTTTCTGAAATGCCTTTCTGACTTTTAATTCTTCTCTTTTTCTTTCGAATCTTTTCTTTTCATTCCCCCATTTTTTCCCCATTAAGGATAAAGGTTCTCTTCACACAAGATCTCTCCTGAGTAGTACCAATATGCCCTCCTCACTCTTTCCAGTCCCAGCAGTGAGAAGAGGCACGAAGTATTAGGTTTCTGATAAGAAACAAGAGTCTGTTGCTGGCAGGGAGCCTTGTCAAGATCCCCCTCATTCTGAGCACTCCATTCCCACATGAACAACAATGAATGGAGATTTCACCCGCCCACCCCACATTGTTCAAGTTGTCCTTTGCCCTTTCCATCAAATCTTGGCACCCAGGAGACAGCAGACCATGTTCTGAATTCAACCCTGGGGAGCCACCGATCAATATCACTTGACTCTTCTTACCCATTAGTTGTTCTCTTTCTATGCCTGACGTGAGGGATGCCTAAGCTATTCTTTGTCATGGCCCCTTCTCAGTTGGCCCAGCTAACCCCTTAGAGGGTGGGATGGCTATCTACAGTCCCTAGACAGAGCACCAGGGACAGAGTAGTAGGATATGGATAAAGTGTAAAGCTGAGTCATGGGACATAGATTCTCTTACTGCTTCAGCTTTAGACTCAGAAGAGATGGAGAAAGTTATTGTATTTATCTCTTTATGATCTTAGCCATCAAATACCAAGAATGTTAGCTAAAAGTTTGCTTAGTTCATGGAATACTCTAATGGAAATTTATAAAACACTTCGAAAATAATATTTTTAAAAAGTTATTTTATATCTCATCTTTCTTTTTGAACATGTTATATCTGACTTCCTTTTTTACATCTGAAACTCATTTTCCCTGCCATACTTACCTATTCTTCCCTATAAATTAGTTATTATTTATGAAGCACAAATATGTTTATATTTATCTCTAATAAGAACTTCTTTTCACAGAGTTCTTGGGGGAGGTGAAGAGGGTAAGATTCAGAGAAGGGAGAAAGACATGACTTGTCATTTTTTTGAGTTTTGATTTTAAAAACTATTGCTTAAACTTATATGAGACACATTCTCTGGAATACCTTTGTGATTATTGAGACCTTAATTTTAAGTAGCAACAATCAAGTAAGCATGAAAACTATAGGGAGGCTAAATTCCTGTCTGATAGTAGGTTACAAACTTAGAAAATCAGAGTGACTTTTCCAAATCACAGATAAGTTGATCAGGAAAACCAAATCCCTAAAGCAATTCAGTGTCTGATTGACTAAGCAAAGTCTTCATTTGTCTATATTTGAATCTTCCAGCTTCAGTATTTAATCATTGTATTACAGCTTTGCTCCCAAATGCCAATTTTCTTTAGGAATCAAATAGTGGATTGTGGGGGTACCAGAACAAATGAAAACATGTTAAATCCTTTAGGATATTATGTTCTTTTTAAAATATTTTTTTAATTATAGATGGACACAGTATCTTTATTTTTATTTCTTTATTTATTTTTATGTGGTGCTAAGGATCGAACCTATGGCCTCACCCGGGCAAGGCAAGCACTCTACCACTGAGCTACAACCCCAGCCCTAGGATATTATGTTTTAATGCTTTTCGTGTTTAAAAATAAGAAATACTTACCAGGCACGATGGCACACACCTGTAATCCCAGTGGCTTGGGAAGCTGAAGCAGGAGGATCCTGAGTTCTAAGCCAGCCTCAGCAACAGCAAGGCGCTAAGCAAGTCAGTAAGACTCTGTCTCTAAATAAAATACAAAATAGGGCTGGGGATGTGGCTCAGTGGTTGAGGTCTCCTGAGTTCAATCCTTGGTATCCCCCCAAAACAACCCACTTTACTTCATTTTAGAATAAAGCCTTAATAATCAGAAACTTCCCTGAAATTCATCAGTTGCCTATTGGTTAATATTTGTAATTTTTTGATGGCAACAAAATAGCTATAAAAGTAATTGAAATTCACAGAATAATCTTTAAATGTAGCCTTTTTAAAATTTAAGCTTCTGCTTCTGCTCTTTAGATACCATTAAGAAATGAAGAAGCAAACCACAAACATATGTGTCTAACAAAGAAAATATCCAAAATACATAAAAACTATTATATACTAATAAGAAGATAGACAACCAAATTAAAAATAGACAAAAAAATTCATCAGATTCACAAAAGATGAACAGCTGTCAGTAAACTCATGATAAGATGTTTGACACCCTAAATCATCAGGACATGCAAATTACAATCATAATAAAATGGCTAAAATTAGAAAAGTTGAAAATACCAAGTGTTAGAGAGGCTTTAGAGAAGTTGGATTCGCATACATTGCTGATATGTATAATGTTTGGAAACAGTTTGGCAGTTTCTTACAAATTAAATACATGCTCACCACCCAGCCCAACAATTTTACTTCTAGATATTTACCTACAACAAACGAAAACATATGTCTACATACAGACCTATACATGAATGTTTTTAACAGTTTTGTCCAAAGTAGCCCCCACATAGGAATATCCTAAGTGTTTAATAGGTGAATTAGACAAATTGTGGTATATAGGTACACTACCTAGCACTAACAAACTACTAATACCATGACTAAATCTCAGAAACATGCTGAATGAAAGAAAACACCAAATAATACATATTGTATGAATCCAGATGTATATATAAGATCATATAAAAGGAAGTCAGCCAGGGACAGAGGAAAGCTTACTGCAAGAGAGCATGAGAGAACTTTCTGGGGTGATGGAAAAGAAGTAACTTATATCTTGATTGTGGTGGTATTCACATGGATATACACATTTTTCAAAACTCATGGAACTTCACAACTAAAATATATTGAATATTTATTTAAACTTAACTCAAAAGAAGTCTGTCTGGCCTTTGACCTCAACTTCTGGGAGTTAACATTTAAGCCCTTGGTTATCATAGGAGGTAGGAGTGTCTTTGTTTATCTGGGTTTTTGGGTTATCCTGGCATCTGTCAATGTAATGTAGACCCAGAACTGGTCACACCAGACAGTATTTAGGGTAGGGATGACCCACATCAGAAAGATTAATAATGTTATATAGGGTAAGGACTGTGGGTCACAGAGTATCATCTTGACCAGAGAAGCTGACAATAGGTTATACT